AAGTGAGAACAAGTTAAGATGACCTATAGAACGTTTATGGAAAAAAGATAACTTTTAGTCTTACTCTCGTTAGGTCAGAATATACTTTAAAATTAGAAACTATAACAGAAATTAACTGATCAGCATTGGTGGCAAATTCCATGATATATATATATATATATGTAATATATATACATATGTGTGTGTGTGTGACATATATATATTTCAGTTCAAGTTAACAAGCACTCATTCAACAATTATTGCTCCTAGTTGATGCTGTAGTTACAGTACTGAAAAATATCCCTCGCCTTTATGGAGCTTAGTCTGATTAGTATATTTCAGTCATAAATAGTGTACTATATACAAGTTACATTCAATATATTTGACAGTAGTGTAGGTTACAATTTACTCTAAATACAGAAAGATTTATGACATCTTTAGCTTGGCTTGCACGCATTAATCTAGTAGGAAATTTTGGAGACACAAATATAGTTAAGTGTTTACTGGAATTTTTCAGTAATGGAAGGCCTTTTTTTTTTAATAAAATGTCATATGTAATATGTCTTGTTATATTTAACTATGAAATTTATTAAAAATGATACAGTTCTGTTTTGTGAACTTACCAAAGATATTTTTTATAGAATATGAAAAGAAACCTCATAGCAGCTTTTGTCTACCAGTTGATTAAATGATCAAGAATATGTTTGTGTCTCTATTAGTTTAGTCTTATATATTTTCAACAATTTTTGAGTTTCTGCACTCTTCCAGGCTTTATGCATCTTTTGTTTGGATAGCAATTAAATTTGTGCCTCATTTGCCCATCTTCCTTAGGCTTAGAAATTGCCTTTTTTTGTCTTGATTTTTTAAAATTTAATTATTAATCACTTTATTTCATGCTAATGATAAGGAACGTCTTGGTGTAAAACCGGTGACACCTTTCAATAAATCTTTAATAACGCATATGAAGAGCTCTGCTGTTCCTGTGTGTTAGCAAAAATGGATCTACAGTGCAGCCAGACATTTTCCTGGTGTTTTCTTGGATAAATGTCTTACCAAGCTTTTCTCTCTTATGATGTCTTGTCCCTCTTGCTCACCTAAGAATGCAGTCAAGCCTCTATAGTCAGCCAAAGCAGAAACATTAGATACCCCTCTGTCAAGTAAGTAATTTAAATCTCTGAGAACAGACATAAACCCAAATAACTGTTTCCTCACAATAGCCTACTAAATTATTATTTTAAAAACTTTATAAGTTGGAAACATCAATGAAAACTTTAAAAATGGATAAACGCAATTGTTGTATCACTACTTAATAAATAGTTAAGTAAGCAAGCTGATCAAAAGAAAACGTAAGAGAAAGACTAAATGAAAAGGACCCTATAAACATCAGTGAAAACATTCATTTTATAAATGTTGTGTTTAGTCATTCAAAAGCAAAATAGATTTCAGACCAGAGATTAAGGGAAAAGGACTGTATTTCTGGGGAAACACATACAAATACACGAATAAACTGTCCTTGGTTAAATATTAAAAGTTTATAAATCCTGCTGACCAAAATTGCTAGCAGATGCTGGGTTTTGAATTTTATCATTCCAAATCATGGGATTGTAGTCTTAATTTGAAATATTACCCTGTAAGATTATACTTATTATTGTCTCCTCTCTAAGTCCCATTTCGAAGTATAAGCCAAAGCTCTTGAATAGAATATTTCTAAGAAACAAATGTCAACTATTGGTAGCAGATTAATATTGTTGAAGAAAAGGATTTGATGAGATTATTATTCAATACAATATAATCTGATTCTATTTTAATTTCTTTAGATAGGAAGTTGGAGACGGATATTGTGTTCCTTCGGTGTGAACTATTTGAATTAAAATGTGACTCCTGAAAAATACAGACTCTTTCCACAATGTTTGAGCAATTACGTTTCCTCTTCACATTTTTTTAGAGTAGTATTTTTCAAACATAGGCTGAAAAATAACCTTCATTTCCTGGATAGCAGTCAAAATCTGCTCTTTGTCACTTAATGAGGAATTATTTGTGGCACAGAAGATCATCTCGTAATGTCTCATGAGAAAGCTGTTAGTATGTTTCTTAGTTATCTAGTGCTGCTACAACAGAAATACCACAAGTGGATGGTTTTAATGAAGAGAAGTTTATTTCCTCGTAGTCAAAGTAGGCTAAAAGTCCAAATTCAGGGTGTCATCTCCAGGGGAAGTCTTTCTCTCTCTGTTGGCCTTTTCATCAATGTTCCCCCGGACTAGGAGCTTCTTTGCGCAGGGACCCCTGTCCAAAGGACGCACTCTACTTCCGGCACTGCTTTCTTGATGGTATGAGGTACCCCTGTCTCACTGCTCACTTCTGTCTTTTATATCTCAAGAGATTGCCTCAGAACACAATCCAGTCTTGTAGATCAGGTCCCGCCTTACTAACACAACTGCCACCCATCCTCCCTCATTAACATCATAGAGGCAGGTTTACAACATACAGGAGAATCACACAGTAACAGGAATCATGGCCTAGCCAAATTGATAAGCACATTTTTTGGGGGACATAATTCAAACCATGACAGTACGAGATATTCACATTTCTTAGAAACATTAACATAGAAATCCGTTTTCACAATCTTTCTTACGTCTTGCATTTCCCTTCTGCTATGATGAAGGCTGTAGAGTTAGGTCGTGAAAAATAATGAACTGGGTTTTAGAAGTACAAACATGATCTAATTTTTTTGTTTTGTTTCTTCTTTTTTCCCTCTCCTCCCCTGAAAAAATGGAACCAGTAGTCAGTGAGAGGTTGGATGATGGGAATAAGAATGACTTTAAATGTGGAAAGGCCTGCAATATTAAAAATGATCTGGAGATTTTATACACACAACTCAGTAAGACACTTGGGATGTACCCACCAATCGCCCTCCCACAAATACCCCTTTAATGATGCCACATGCCCCCCTTTTTTTTTTTTTTAACCTCTCTCTTTTGTTAAGGATAGGAGCCTTGGTTGCACAGTGGTTAAGCGTTTGGCCACTAACTGAAAGGTCAGTGGTTCAAACCCACCAGCCTCTCTGCGGGAGAAAGATAATGGCAGTCTGCTTCTGTAAAGATTACAGTCTTGAAAATCGTATGGAGCAGTTCTACTCTGTATTGTAGGGTTGCTATGATTCAAAACTGACTGGACAGCAATGAGTTTTGGTTTATTTTGTTGTTGTTTTAAAGTATCCCTATATGTTCAGCTTGGGGGATTACACAGGATAGATGATTTTCTCAGGACTATGATGGCAAACACTGTCAGTTGCCTTCCTAATATTCATTTCCCTCTTCTTCCTCACTAACATGCACAATGGTATGGCTTGTGTTTGGGGTAGCAATATGTCCACCAAAATACTCACTTATTCAGTCTCTCTTGCAGTAGACGTGGCCATGTTATACTGTTCTGTCTGATAAAATGTAGGCATAATCCTTGGAGAGAGCATTTCTTCCCAAATAGAGAGTCAAAGCCTAACTAGGAAGAAATCTTTTGGTTGCTCTTCTGCCTTATTCTCATTTGGAATTTGGAACAGCTGCCTCGAGGTACAGAAGCCATTTTGTGCCTGTAATGAGGAAAACTCAATACATTGAAGACGGCAGAGCATCTAAAATAATATCTGCACCTGCCTCCTTATAGATTTCTTGTTATGTGAGAAAAAATAATCTCCTATTATTTAAGCTGCTATTAATTACATTTTTATTACTTGCAGATGAATGTTTTATGGACTGATACATGATTTCTTTTAAATTGTTTTTGTATTGAGCAAGAGGGAAAAATGTGGTAGATATTGGGCAAGAAGGTACTGTGTATATTTCTAACCATTATCTTCAAATAATAAAAGTAATATTTTCAGAGTAAATATCTCATTTTTTTTCTATATAACTTAAAACTGTCTGAAAGAGCATCCATGTATGTGGTCAGCCATTGTTCATGGGGGGCAACTTAGCTAATCAAGACCAGTATTTTGATATATACCACTGCTGTCAGTTGATTCCACCTCATAGCTACCCCATAGGGTTTCCCAGGCTACAAATATCTATGGAGGCAGACTGCCACATCATTCTCCCAAGGAGTCGCTGGTGGTTTCCAACCGCCAACCTCTTGGTTAGCAGTCGATCACTTTAACCATTGCACCATGAGGCTCCTTGTTTTGATATATAAAATCAAGTAAAAATTGCCTTTCATTCTGTCGCATGGTCATACCATTATTTCAGTGAACCATAGGGTTGTTTTTTTTTAATTATATTTTGCATTGTGTTATTTTTAAAGAATAATTGATGATTCTGTTAACTACATTTGGGATGTCAAAGAACATTTTTCTGATTGAAGCTTTAATTTTAGCTTCCGTTCTGTGCTAATTACTTATCTACTGACTCCAGTTAATGCCACATTGATTGAAACATTCTTTCTAAGGGAAATTTGACAACTCTCATCAAAAGTCTTAAAAATATTGACATGCTATGAACTTGAAATGTCACGTGTGGAAATTTATTTTAAAGAAATATTCAGAATTAAACACATTGAAGCTCATTTTAAGTATAATCTAAATGACACAATATTCAAAATGAATTAAATGACCGACATTAGGGGATTGGCTAAATAATTAGTAATTAGTTTATACTCTGGTATATCATTAAAATAACATACAAGACTAATTATCATTAAATACTCATTACATAATATTAATAAAAAATAACAGGTTATAAAATATTACATGCATATTATTTCATTAAATAAATAAATGCTTCTATACCAAAATGTTAAGAGTGCTTTCTTCTGAGTTTTAGGCTTATGAATGGTTGTTTTTCTTTATTATAGTTTTCAACTTTTCCAAATCTCTGCAATCAGTGTATATGAACGAGTAAAGGATACCTTGCCTATTAACAGTGTAACTCCAAGTTAACATTGAAAATAGTTTGAATTAATCATTTTTATTAACTACCTTTCCAACAATAAGTAGTTTGTAAAAAATCTCTCTCTCTCTCTTTTTAATACAGAAATCCTGAATGGTGGAGTTTATGTAGACCAGAACAAATTCCTTTGTTATGCAGACACAATTCATTGGCAAGATATTGTTCGGAATCCATGGCCTTCCAACTTGACTCTGGTGTCAACAAATGGTAGCTCTGGATGTGAGTAGCATTATTCATTTCACTGTTGGAAAATGTCTTTCTGTACTTTATAAAAATGAATCATTGTTACTTGTCATTGCAATTGGCAATATTTTAAGCTTTGATTGCATCCATTGAAATATTCAGTTATATACAACAGATAGAACAAATAGCTGGCCTACATTTTGCTTCTAATTAATTATCTTTACTAGATTAAGCTACTTTATCATATGGCTTAGTTCATTAGTGCTGCTGTAACAGAAATACCACAAGTGGTGACTTTAACAAACAGAAATTTATTTTCTCACAGTTTAGGAGGCTAGGAGTTTGAATTCAGGGCACTGACTCTAGGGCAAGGCTCTATTTGTCCACTGTGGGAAAATCCTTGTTTCACCTTCTTTAGTGTTCTTCTTGGTGATCCTTGGTGATCCCCATGTGGCATGTATCTTCCCCTCCATTTGTGCTTGCTTCTCTGTGCCTAATCTGTTATTTTTTTAATCTCAAGAGTGAGTAGGTTTAAGACATACCCTACACTGATATGACCTCATTAACATAATGAAGAAGAACCTATTTCCAGCTATAATGATATTCACAGGTATAAAACCAAAAAAACCCAAACTATTGCCATCCAGTCAATTCTGACTCATAGTGACCCTATAGGACAGAGTAGAACTGCCCCACAGGGTTTCCAAGGAGCATCTGGTGGATTCAAACTGCAGAACTTCTGGTTAGCAGCCAAACATTTAACTACAACACCACCAGGGTTTCTACAGGTATAGAAATTAGGATTCCAGCACATATTTTGAGGCGCACAATTCAGTCCATAACACCATACTTCCAAGGTCTAAAAATGTGCTCCATTGTCTGTAAACTCAAGGCTTGATGTGTAATTAATGCTTCAATTTTTTGTGGCCCATACACCACTGACAAATGCAGTAGAACAAAAATGTACCTCCCTGTACCCCACAGTAAATTTTTAAAAGTAAAAAAAAATAATAAAACCTCGGAGCATTTTAGAATTCCTAATTTTTCATTCCCTCCCCAAGCCCTCATGGTAATACTTTATTACTATTCCAAACACTCTAGATAGAGAAGAGATGTATGATCCCTCTCATTTCATACAGAAGAAATACATGTTATATTATAATTTTAATCATTAGCCTAATAAACTACCCAGTTACCCTTTCTTATAATTTATACTGTTTCTGTTACAGAGGAATTATCAGATCTAAAGTGTTTAATATGATTAAATGATAAACAATGTTTAAACTATTATCAAAACTGTTGAAAAATATTTTTTCTGGTACCTGTTTCATTTTTATAAAGCAAGTCATGTTGTCCCCATGTTTATTATTGCTGAAATTTCTGTGAAAACAGTATCTTTATTAAGTCTTAATCTTGGTTTTGTATTTCTCATCTATTATTATTTAATTCCCATCTGAAATTATAACTGTCTTCATGTGACTCAAGAATTATTTGCTATAATACTGATTGTGTTATGATGCTTTTGTAGGAAATCAAACTCCAAGGGACAATTATTAAATTTCATAATGGCCCTGATAATATACTGAAGAAAAATGAATATATTTTATCAAAACTGACAGCCATATTTTTAATAAATGGCTAAAACTTTTTTTAAAAAGTAGAATAACATAATTTTCATGTCACCCTTGAGCAGAAATTTGTATGAGATTTCATCTTTGTAGTGTTCAAATTGCCTACCTTGTTAAATTACACGTGAATAAAGAATTGAATCTGCTCACACTAACAAGGGAAAATGACATGCTTCAGAAATGACTTCCATTTTCAGTTTGCCCATAATATAGTACACTTTATATTTGGGAGAAAAGAGCATATTGGTTGGATGAGAGGAAAGGTCTGCTAACTCTCAGCTTATAAAACTGACTAGCCTGGAATATTTGAATGAGATCAAGCAAGAATAAAGCCTGAGACAGAGCCAAAAGGGAAATATGCCCACCAATCTCATATAAGATTTGGAGCAGAAAAGGTCTGAGGGGTTTGCTGCACTTTCACAGATGGCATCTCTTTGTGTTCTTTTTGAGGACAAATTTGGATGGTTCTGCCTACAATTAGGCAACTGTGGATGCATTTTTCTTTTTTTTTGCATACAAATAATTGCAGGTGCAAAAATTATAAATGCTGAGTCATAGCCAATGGCCCTTTACAAATTAACTGCCAACTGCTTGTCAAAGTTTTATTCTTTACATAGTAGTTCTACTTGCTGACACATTATATATATTGAATATACCACACCAAAACCAAACAGCTGTCATTGAGTTGATTCCAACTCGGTGACACCGTATGCGTTAGAGTAGAATTATGCTCCATACGGTTTTCCATAGCTGAATTTTTGAACATGAATTGGCAGGTCTTTCTCTTGAGGCACATTTGAATGGACTCGAACCTCTAACCTTTCAGTTAGCAGTTGAGTGTATTAACCATTTGCACCACTCAGGAACTCCACAATATACCATTGCTGTAAATAATGAATTGGCTGTCCCTTGAGCACTGGTTTCCTACAGTATTAGCCTAAGTCAGTTTCTTCCTCTACCTTTTCCTGATGTATACTCTCAGCTACTCCATGGGTTTAAATACAACCCCTATCTTGATGACTGCCAGAACTTACACATCACCAACCAATCTGTCACCCAGTTTAAAAAACGTGATACTCATCGCTGACTTCACTCTTTCTTTGGTTCTTTGCATTTAGTTAATCACTAAGTCATCTTGATTTTGCCTTTCTTGATGTTGCTTGATTCTTATTACTAGTACCCTACTTCAAGATTTCATCTGTTTCCTAGAATACTGAAACCATCTTTATATTGTATATATGTTTTGGATTATGGACCCTTGTGGCAGTCTGGTGAAGCCCATGGACCCCCTTCTCATAATAGTGTCAAATGCATAAACAGGCACAAAGTAAATCTAATACATAAATGCATAAAAATTAGAAAATGCATATAATAAATTATAGAGGGTTACAAAGAAAATCAATTATATTAAAATACAGTTGTCAACATTTACAAAAATAAATATGCAATATATATATCAGTGCTTCTTTATGAGCATGTCAAATTAAAAAAGAAATCTAAAAATAGTACTAATGTCTAATGTAGTTTTAAAACAGGGATAAGACATAGAAGCTCTATAGACACGTCCAGAATCCCTGAGGGACCAAATTACTGGGCTCAGGGCTGTGGGGACCATGGTCTCAGGGAACATCTAGCTCAACTGGCATAACATAATTAGACCAGACTTACTGGTCTGACAGAGACTGGAGAAACCCCGAGAGTATGGCCCCCGGACACCGTTATAGCTGAGTAATTAAGCCACTCCTGAGATTCACACTTCAGCCAAAGATTAGACAAACCCATAAAACAAAACGAGATTAAATGGGCACACCAGCCCAGAGGCAAGGACGAGATGGCAGGAGAGAACTGGAAAGCTGGTAATGGGGAACCCAAGGTCGAGAAGGGGAGAGTGTTGACATGCCATGGGGTTGGCAATCAATGTCACAAAACAATGTGTATTAATTATTTAATGAGAAACTAGTTTGCTCTGTAAACCTTCATCTAAAGTACAATTAAAAAAAACCTTAAAAAACAAGGATAAAAATAAATAATAATTTAAGATATCTACAACTGTAGTGTAATGTGAACATATCTATGGTTTATATTGGTTACAGTGTGGCCAGTAATGCTAATACTGTGCTGTGGTTTGATCCTTATGTTTCTAATGGTTGACAATCATACATGTTAATAAGAGATTAATAAAAAAAAAAATTGCAACTTTTCCTCATTCAAGTTCACAAACTTCCTACCTTTTGGGAGTCCAAGGCCCTCTGGTTAAGAGCCCCTGTGTTGATTTGCTTTTTTTATCTCTAGTCCCAACAAATCCACCCTACAAGATGCCAGCAAGTATTTTATCTAATGAAACTCTAACCACGACCCTGTCTAAATTCCCTGCCATTGCAACTAATACTGGGTCGAGTCTAACGAAGCCAAAGAGCTTAGCGTTTTCAGCAGTCTCCTGTCTGTGTCTCCCCTCCGTAGGTTGAGTTCTTACAGTTACTTGTCTGTACCTCCCTGCCTTTTCTCTTTGCCCGACTACTTACTAGTTATACTTTCAGATACTCATCAGGTGCCATCTTTTCTGAGAAATTTTCTCTTCTCCAGGCTGAGTTAGATAACCTTTCCCATTTGAAACTTGGTATCTTGCCTCACTCTTTAAAATGAAAACTCCCTGAAGATAAGACTCCAGTCATCATTCTGTTGTCTCTTCTAGGACATAATAGATGGCTAATATGTACTGAATTAACAGATAAATAATTAAATAGATCAATGCATAAATAGGGTATATTTTCTTTTATCTATCATTTAAATACAAAAGAATTCATGTGAAGTAAAAGTTACAATCCAGAAACATGTAGTTGATTCACTTTTAGTCTTTTCAGGTACAGATGATAGTATATATCTATTTGCTTAAGTTACTTTATATATTTCATATATGAGTGTGTGTATATATATATATGTGTATGTGTGTATGTGTATATATGTATAATATGCATGTATATACACATATATACACATATTCATGAATATATATGAAATATATATGTATATTTCTTTATATTTTAGTTTATGTTTAAATAACCAGATATTAATTAGTGTAATAATTGTAAATATCTACAAATTATAAAATTTTCAACCTAAGGAATTCAAGAATAGTTGATTCTTAAGCAATATTTTGCAAAATACTAATGTATGTTTGTCTTACAGTACTGATTCTTAATGCAGAACAGCAAAATCTTTTCAATAGCAACCTAGCTTTTTTTTTTTGACTTAACTTTGGTCTATAATTGAAACAATGAAGAGAAGGTTTGAAATGTCTAGAAAAACCACTTTAAACCTGTACTACTCTTTTAAATGTATGATTTGGAAAAAAAATTAACCAAGTTGTATTTTCCAAAATGTACTTGTGGTATCTTAATCCAAGGTTTA